ATTTAAACCCTTGCGTAACAGCAAGTTAGGTTGTGTCCTCTTTAGTTTGCGCAATTGATTGAGGCAAATGGATTGACAAAAAAGGCTGCCCAAAGCTAGCCAGACGTGCTTAGGTTATGTTCATGAAATAGAACTGTGATAAGGACATGGATAATGGGAGTCATTTCAAAGGGAACTGGATTGGAGGTCTGATAGCATTGATTCTCTGGAGGAGAAATTCAATGATGGAGTTTTTCTTCATGCTTTGTAAGTACAACTATTGTTATATGGTGTAGCTATATTACTTATAGCCAGCCAGCTTTTTTTTTTTATCATCCCCCGCAACAACGTAGTTGCGGGGGGTATTAAAATGGGGTCCGTCCGTCCGTCCGTCCGTCCGTCCATCCGTAACATTTCGTGTCCGGGCTGTAACGTTCTTCCTAATCACCCGATACTCATCATATTTGGCATGGAGGTGTAGAAACACATAAAGGTGTGTCATGAAAAACAATTTTGAAAATATTTTCATAATTTTTTTTGCGTTTTAGAGCAAAAAGTGACAAATTCGTGAGATATCTGTAAAGTGTCCTGTCCGGGCTGTAACTTTCTTCCTAATCACCCGATACTCATCATATTTGGCATGGAGGTGTAGAAACACATAAAGGTGTGTCATGAAAAACAATTTTGAAAATATTTTCATAATTTATTGCGTTTTGGGGCAAAAAGTGACATATTCATGAGAAATCTGTAGTGTTGCACCGATACCGATACCAGTATCGGGTATCGGCCCGATACCGCGTAAATATGCTCGTACTCGTACTCGTCCACATTTGCCGATACCACGCTCCGATACCATTTAATGTAAGACGCAAGGTAACTGCCTGCTCACGGTCGCATAGGCTACAGTATTTTGTACTATCTGACTTCTGTGTCTAGGGGGAGACAGCGAGTTAGAAAAAATACGAGAAAGAGAGCTTTATAGTCATCACATCACATGCAGGCATACGCACATACACACAAGAGCTGTACAGTACAGAAGTACATGTAGGCAACTTAATTACAGTACTTAAGTAGTTTTTTTGAGGATTTGTACTTTACTTGAGTTTTTTTTTTTTTTTTTTTTTTTTTTTAAATCGGGACTTCTACTCTACTACATTTTAAAGATAAAAAGTATACTTTTTCTTCGTTACTTTGACACTGGCCACTTCACTACACGTTAAAAATTAAAATATGAATATAATTAATCATTTAAGGATTATCTGGATGCGGTGTGTTCAAAAAGAACAACGGTGTTCAGCAGGGCATCTTAAGCGTTTTGTGCAGATGTTTCTGCCAGCGGACATGGAGCTGCAAATTTATGCACGCAATTACAATATTCTATCACTAGATGGCACATCTGGATCAGTTATTGAATATTTAAAAGCAAGCCGAGCTCGCAAAAGCACACACCCACAATCACACACCCAGAGACTTAGAATTGTGAATCTTCTTATTTTACTACAAATATATTAGAAACATATGGTTACCTTAAACATTTTAGTTGTGGTTAGGTTAATCTACTGACTTTTTATGAAGTTGGGTGTGTTACCGTGCCTATGCAGCGAGTTTACTTTTCATTTGTCAAGCTTCAGTAATGTTTTGCATCATTTGATGGCAGTGCTAGTTCAAAGGCTTTTTGTTGGGCCTAAATACAGAAAGATTTTTAGCAGTTAGGCCTACTCTTTTTTTATTTGGAAATAGCCATGTGTGAATCGTTTGATATTGGCCTCTTTTAGGCTTGTTATAAAAAGAAAATAAAACCTGTACTCCGAAATTGTCATTGTATTTTCCTGGAAAACATTTCAGAAATATCGGTATCGGTACTCGGTATCGGCAAGTACACAAAATAAAATACTCGTACTCGTATCGGTTTTTAAAAAAGTGGTATCGGTGCATCCCTAGAAATCTGTAAAGTGTCCTGTCCGGGCTGTAACTTTCTTCCTAATCACCCGATACTCATCATATTTGGCATGGAGGTGTAGAAACACCTAAAGGTGTGTCATGAAAAACAATTTTGAAAATATTTTTAAAATTGTTTGCGTTTTGCGGCAAAAAGTGACAAATTTATGAGAAATCTGTAATGTGTCCTGTCCGGGCTGTAACTTTCTTCCTAATCATCCGATACTCATCATATTTGGCATAGAGATGTAGAAACACATAAAGGTGTGTTATGAAGAACAATTTTGAAGATATTTTTACAATTTTTCGCGTTTTTGGGGCAAAAAGTGTCAAATTTGTAAGAAATCTGTAATGTGTCCTGTCGGGGCTATAACTTTCTTCCTAATCATCCATTTATCATCATTTTTGTCAAGTAGGTGTAGAAACACATACAGATATGTCAGGAGAAACAATTTTGAGAATTTTTTTTTAAAAACTCACATTTTTGTAGGAAATTTGTAAGCGATCTCTTATGTGTTCCGTCCAGGCTATCTGAGGTATCTTGGAGATATGTTGTCTTTGTAGTGTAAAAAGACATGTTAAAGGTTTGTGACGATAAACAATTTTGAAAATATTTCATGGTTTTCATTATATACTCCGAAAGTGTTTGATTTTGTTTTTCATAACATTGATTGAATTGCCAAAGTATTATTAACAAAGTATACTATCTAAGAGAAGCTAACAGATGTGACAATATTCGGAAAAAATTATTTGTGAGTTGCGGGGGATATTGCTTGACAACGTCAGCAGCTTGTTTAATTTTCGGTTTATCACTGTGATCACAGAGCTAGTTTGCCACACTGGTAAATAAGAATAACCATTAGCCTTTGCTAATAATACTGTATGTGGGGGGGATTTTGAACAATGCGGCAATTTGTATAATTTATACCGCATTCTACAAAATAGAATGCATATGTATTCGCTCGTTTAATTTGGGCGCAGCTCAAGCACTTTACGTTCGTTGCACTGATTCTGTTCAATCTAAGGCTGCATATAACTTGCTTTTTCCTGATAGTTGAATGTCTGTTTTGCAAAAACAAGGCATATTTCAGATATTACTGTGTTAGTGAGTTATACTTGCTCCTTATAGAGTGTAGAAAGCGTTTACACAAGCTTGCATGCTCGGAGGTGGCAACTGCTAGTTTTCCATTGCAGAGTGAATGTTCTGACTGTGAAATAAGCAGTTCGTTCAATGACTATGTGTGCTGACTGATGGAGCTCTGAAGAAAAATGGACAAAATCCTACACTTTATCATGAAGAAAAGGCATGTTTTGGTTTGGAAAGGTTACTGGTGACCACTGATGTCCATCCAGGCCTGTATTGATAAAACTCATGCTAAATTCCACTAGAAAATCATAAAAAAAGTCATATTGAACTTCATGAGTCAAATGTTGATTTGTGTTAAACGTGATTATTTTAAGATTTGACAGTGCAGAATTTTATGGGCTCTGACAGTGAGGGAGCCACTTGGTTAGCCATCTTATTTGGTAGATCATTTTGAATATCACCGTCAGATGAAGCACAATTTTGGTCAAGGAATTTATGATTCCAGAAATGTATTGTTTTCACTTCCAGCCATTTTTCAATTCTCAATATTTTTTTTTTTGGTAATTTCTTTGCTGAATTTCATGAAGATTTTTTATGTTTGCAGCCCTTATTCAGTACTAAAATTATGAAAAGAAACTGAAATACAATGGAATTGTTTCGTTTAAGCCATTTCCCCCCTCTCTGTGCAGCTCAAATCTTGAATTATAAAGTCTTAGGGTAACACATAAACAGCCTGATTTGGCTTCTGTGCAAAGGGGTTAAGTGTCTTCGGTGCTCAAATGCAAATACTGGAACCTGAGCGCAGACTTGAAATAAGACAATGCATGAATATGTAAGGGCCGGCCAGACAGGATACCTGCTCAAAGACAGTAAAGTTTCTGAAACAATATGACCGCCGAGCCCTTAGAAAAAAAAAAAAAAAAAGACCGCACACCAATAATCGAGCAGTCTGGGACACATTCTCGCATGTACCTGTCAAACTCCACTGTGTAGATGAGGATCAGGTAGCGCTTGTTGCTGAGGGCTGGAGACTGTGGCTGGAGGCGAGGCCTACCAATAACACCGGCCTTGCGGTTACGAAGAATTTCCAGGTCAGCATAAGTCAAGAGGTCAAGGGTGACAGCCTCACTGGTCTACAAGGACGACATGAATACAGTCCATTATCTGGGATGGGAATTTCCAGCCATTTCAGAGAGAAAATGATTGCACTAATGTGCTTGATTTCAAATCTAACATGAAAAACATCAACTTTTGAACACTTCCTGGCACAGTGGCAATTGGGCAAAAGCAGACATAAAGGCACATCAACACTAAACAAAACAAAACATAGTTTCAATAATAAAGCTTTAAGCATTCCAAACACAGCCAAATAATTTTATTCTCCATTCACAGAGGTTCAAAGCCAACAAAATCAATATACAACATCTTCAAGGGACATCCATTTCTGACTGGCAGGGAGTCTTGCATTTTTTCCCATAAACGGTGTGCCCAGGAGTTCAAAACTTTACATTAACATTCTAAATTACACAGGCCACAAATAACGCACAGTTTCACTTGCCACAGTGTCAGTTTCAGGTCCACAATTACTGCAGAAAGTAGCTTTATTAATTAAAGCGTGAATGTTCTTAGTTTGGGACCTATTTAAGAGCCAGTTTTTCTAAGAATCAGGCAGAGGGTGATATATGATGGTCTCAAATTTGCCCAAAATTTTTGTTGGTGAAGAATGGTTAGTTCAATAGAAAAACTGCAAATTTTTTTGGCACCAATATATACTTAATTGAACCCCGTGGGGTAATCTGTCCTCTGAATTTGACCCAGCCTATAGTTAGGAGCAGTGGTCAGCCACAGAGCAGCGGCCAGGGACCAACTCCAGTTCTAAAGCCAACCCACTTCCAGGGGTACTGGCAGAAGTGTTCCTGTAATGCATGTTTTTGTGGGTAGGAGAAACCGGAGTACTCGGAGCAAACCCACGCCAACATGCAAACTCCACACAGAAAGGCACCAGGCCGAATTTGAACCAACAACCTTCTTGCTGTGAGGCGGCAGTGCTAACCACTGCACCACCGTGCCGCCCAATACCCTTCAGTTTCTTTTTTAGGGGCACTAGAAGGGCTGAAGATTCCGAGGTGGGAAATATGCGCTGAAAAAAAATTCAGTTTTGAAATGCAATTATATCATTGCGCCAACAATAGCCCACATTCATTTTAAGAGCCATTCCGTGAGAAAATGGCACTTTTTGAAGAGGTTGAGGAGTTGACCCCCATGGAATTGAATGAAACTTGGCAGATAGGAAGATATCGTAGTCTCACAAAAAAAGCCAAATTTTTAGGTGCGTATCTCAAGAATTCTGCCGGTGGCACCACCTGGAAGCCACTAAAGTGGCTCAGTTTTGCTGTTGACACCACATTTTACATTAATTATTATGACTTAAGGGTACACAGTACCAGATGTGTTATACTTTTATCATGACCTGTGACACTTCAAGTCTGGATAGACATCAGCACCACATCAGCGCCAAGCTGGGTAACTATGTTATTGAGCCGGAATTATTTGAGAAATCACGGTAAAAATTGAAAATGGGAATGGGAATAAAATAATATCCCAGACATATACCAATCAAGAATGCTTTATTATGCGTTTACTCGCAACAAGACTATCATTTTCAGTTAATATTCCCTTGTTATCTTGCTGGGTCTGTGCAATGGATGGCTGGAAAGATGGTCGAAATAGATTTTTGGTGTATGTTTGCCGTATATTTTCTCAGTAACCCAGATATGTACTGCGGTGATAAATGCCGTTTGTTGTGCTTTTGGAACTCTATTCTCAGGAATACCAAGCATTTCTTTGGAAGTATCTACACTCTTCAAGCTAGACAGAGCCAAAGTTGGAGTAAAACTCAAAATGGACCATTTTATCGCAGATTGTGCCTATGTTTAGGCGGCATTATTTTGTTTACCCAGCAAGACAGAGATCTGAAATTCTCTGGATACACAGTTCCTTTAGGGTATGTTACAGCATTAGTAAAATCTCAACGGTAGCACTTTCAGTGTAGATGATTTTAAACATCAAAAGTCCAAAAAATTTGCCTCCAGGGGGCACTGTATGCTGGATGCAAGTACTGGCTATCCCCAGCAATGTACCTAAGAAATAGATTTTGAATTGTGATACACGGAGCTAGTTTTCTCAGAAAGTGAAGAGTTTAGCTTGGTACTGTGCTGGGTGGATAGCTATGTGACCAAAGGTGGTGCTCTAAAGAGCTAATGTTCTATCGACCTAATATTCCATATTCCCAGACATATACCAACGTTCTGTCTTTTGAAATATATGAAGCACATACACAGTTATACATAAAATTTGTAATCCCTTTGGTATAGAGCTTGTTTGGTTGTAAACTGATGGTGACTGTGAGCATTACAAACGCACAATACATGGGCTATTACCAAGTACGGGTACAGCACAGTCAGAAACGTACAACATGTTAAAAAACATGACCAGTCCAAAATTTTTAAATGCCAAAAATATAACTAGTGTAAAAGGCGTACCACCGTAAGTACATATGCAGACATGCCTCAACAGTGTATGTACACTTACATAAAACAACAGTCCATAATTTGAACTCTGAAAAAAAAAAATCTTCGTCACATAACCATGTACATGAAGACAGAAAGTACAGTACAAAAGCTAAAACTGCTTTATACTTTTCATGTTATCCAAAGCGAAATGATGTCAACACAGCATGTGACTAGCTCTGTCAGTCTGTTTTTGGAATTCAATTGTGGGTTGGCAGCACCTGGTGGTGCGCACCAGAGGTGCTCCTTGGCCATGGCCTTGAGCAGCCATCCATGGCCTTCTTCGTTGGATCCAGGTCGATGTTACCCACGGAGCCAGTCGAGCCCGAGGCAAGCCCTACTACACTGCATCCTGGGTCTCTACAGGGCTGCTTACAGGCCGTTGATAGTGAGCTTGTCTGTCTCTGAATTAAAGAGCAGGCTGCAGCCTATATGGCGCAATAGTTGCGTCAACATCCATGGCGTGGTACGCACGGAAATGGGAAGTCTGTAAAAGAAACCCCGCCCTCCCAACCAGCGGGCATCCCGTAAGCTAGGCATCATGGCCAGGTGTTAGGAATGAAGGCATGCACGTTACCACTACAAATGAACTGCCCTTTTCTTGGCAGGGTGCTGCCTGCTTGCTTGTGCCCTTTATCAGGATAACCACTCACTAGACGTGACTGTTGTGCCCTTTTTCATACCCAAGCACCATACCCTAGGGAAATCCTAGAATTAACACTGAAGCCTGCTCTTCGATTCTAATAGTACTGCAAATGCAGAGAATTTGTTATTTTCTGAAACTCACCAACACTACGAAACTGTATACTGTACTGACTACTGGTAAAAGTCTTGCATGTTGACACTATGCTACAATCACCATCAACATTATTGTCCAATTTACAACCAACCCAGCTTTATACCAAAGAGATTACAAATTTTATGTATAACTGTGCATGTACTTTATATATGTGAAAAGACAGAACTCTGGTATATGTCTGGGAATATGGAATATTTGGTCGGTAGAACATTAGTTCTTTATAGCAGCACCATCTTTGGTCAGATAGCTATCCATTCAGCATAGTACCAAGCTAAACTCTTCATTTTCAGAGAAAACTAGCTGTTTGCATCACAATTCAAAAACAATTTCTTTGGTACTTTGCTGGGGAAGGCCAGTACTTGCATCCAGCATACAGTGCCCCCTGGAGGCGAATTTTTCTGATTTTTGATGTTTATAATCATCTACACTGAAAATACTACCGTTGAGATTTTACTAATGCTGTAACGTACCCCAAAGGGACTATGTATCCAGAGAATTTCAGATCTCTATCTTGCTGGGTAAACAAAATAATGCCACCTAAACATACGCACAATCTGCTATGAAATGGTCCATTTTGAGTTTTCCTCCAACTTTGGCTCCGTCTAGCTTTAAAGCGTAGATAATACCAAAGAAATGCTTGGTATTCCTTAAAACAGAGCTCCAAAAGCACAACAAACAGCATTTACCCTCACAGTACAAATCTGGGTTACAGAGAAAATGTACCGCAAACATGCGCCAAAAATGAACTTCAACCATTTTTTTGGCCGTCCATTGCACAAACAAAGCAAGATACCAAGGTACTATTCACTGAAAAATATAGGGCACTGGCGGCCCCAGAAGCTCCCGCCGTTATGATAAACAAAATGTCAAAGTTTTTGTTGACGGACGCACGCATGGATGGAGCCCGATACCATAGCTCCCGTGCCACTGGGGCGGCAGGAGCCAATTAGGAGCCTGTAACTGAAAATGTTGATAAGATAAAGCAAATTGAGTAAGTTTTTGATGATATTTTTAGGCCAGTGACCTTGAAAAAATAGGCCAAGGTCACGTTTAGGCACGTCATTTGTAAAACTTTATGAAAAGCATGTCTAATAAAAATTAGGAGCCTGTAACTGAAGTAGTTGATGAGATAAAGCAAAATGTCGAAATTTTTGGTGATATTTTTAGGCCAGTGACCTTGGAAAAATAGGTCAAGGTCACCTTTAGGCATGTCATTTGTAGGCCTTTATGAGGTGCATGTCCAGTGAGAATTAGGAGCCTGTACCTAAAATAGTTGATGAGAGAAAGTAAAATGTCGAAGTTTTTGGTGATATTTTTAGGCCAGTGACCTTGAAAAAATAGGCCAAGGTCACCTTTAGGCACATTATTTGTAGGCCTTTATGAGATGCATGTCCAGTAAAAATTAGGAGCCTGTAACTGAAATAGTTTATAAGATAAAGCAAAATGTTGAAATTTTTGGTGATATTTTTTTTAATATTTTTTGGTGTCCATTTAAGGGGATGACTGAATAATATTCTTTTGTGATACGTGAGACTTGTTCCATTACTACAAAGTAATTTTTTTGTAAATTAAATTACACCAGACATAATTTAGCCGACACAACTGCAAATTCATAGTCACTTCAAACAAGAAATCAACTGCCTTAGAATACAAAACATTTAATTAGAATTAACATCAACTTTGCACCACCCACTGGACCGGAAAACAGCCAATATGTTGCATCAGACAGGATGCAATAAAAATTAGGAAGTGGCGCAAGGCGTCGGGGTCATCCAATTTGTCAGCCGTGTTCAAAACTGCATGTTTACTCCATACTGATATGCTGACTGCAACATGCTACTCTCCATAGTTGTATACAGTGAAGAGGCCAGTGTGTAATGATAGCCAATGCTTTGTACAGCAGTCACATGACCACTAAACAATTAAAATCAGTAACCTAGGTGCATGAGCCCTAGCAGATAATATGATGCATCAACTGAGTAGTGATCTTGACTCAATTGTCAACTTCGTTGTCAACCAACCTTATTCACAGCAGACTCTAACATGTTGCAGAAGACTGAGAACTGCTTGAAATTCCCCGTCTTGCGAGTCAGGTCTTCAATATCTGTTGAAGAAAGCAAACAAAAAGTTAAATACTCTTAACAATGTTCAGGACAATCGACACAAATCAGCACATTCCGTGGTGTTCCCCAGAATCCCAAACCCGACTCACAAGCTGGATCAAATTCCCCCCTCCACTGGTCAGCTGTCACAGAGTCCATGATTTCCACAATCAGCACCTCTTCTTCCAGCACCAACTTTATTGAAAATTCCACCCCATGGAACTCCAGATCAGTCTGAACCACTGACTCCACTTCCATGGCGTGGCATGTCAGTCACATCTGCCACAGGCCTGCACAGACAATCACAATGGTTTGGCACAAAATGCACAACTAAATTCAGGCATGGCAAAAACGGGGTACGACAACTAGAAACAATAAAATGTGTTTTACTCATAAAAGTGTTTTTACTCATAAAAACAGACATCTCCCCCCCAGCCCCCTTCCCTGCCTAACCCACCGGACGGACGAACAGACGCGCAGACAGACAGGCACGTACCAAAAGGCACCACTGCAGGACCTGAGTAGTAAGTATGCAAAGTTTCGCTGAGATCGTGCAAACGTTTTAGGAGTTATGCAAACGCAAATGGGAACGGTAACACG